CATGGATGAATGAATGAATGAAGAGCAAAAAGCAACATCTGATGATTTGATACATTCCACGGGTGGAAGAAAAGATGAGCTTCTCACTTTAATCATGAAATCATGGTATTTTGTATTTTCTTGTTGACCCAAGAGAACCAAAGACATGCCATGTGCTTCTTCAAAAGACCCACTGGATTTTACTCCAAAAAGAAGGATATATATAATGAGAGGTTAACTAACTGTTGGTGCTCTATGTCTTAATTTCTCTCAAACTTGGATCTACTAGTATTTACCCCGTGCTAAGCACGGCCCTCGCCTCTTTTCTACCATTGCACTTGAAACACCTCTCCTCTTAGTTTTAAAAGGGTAAAATAGAATGAATAAAAGGGTTCAACTATAACCAATTTTGAAATGGGAAACACTTTCGAAAAATAACAAAAATATTATTTGAGGGTTCAACTATAAGTAGTAAATTGAGAAAATTTGTGAGACAAGGGATAGAACATTATGTTGCATTTACATGTAATTAAGTCACAGAGGAACTCTTCAGCTCTAAGCACATATCAATAGTTCATTACTTTAGAGGAAATATTCAGATCTGAGCACATATCAATAGTTAATTCTCTCACCAACTGTGGCAGAAGAAATTTTCATTTTCTCCTCAATACAAACCCTCCAAAATATCTAAAAATGATCCTTAATTGTCATGAACGAAATTTAGAAACTTTAGCTTTTATCTTCATGGTTATACCATCCCTAGCCATCATTAACCAAAGTTTCATAATAAGGTTTCTGATGTAGATAAATATATAGGTAGCACATCATTAACCAAAGTTTCATAATAAGGTTTCTGATGTAGATAAATATATAGGTAGCACAATATAGTTCCAACTAATCCAAATCCTCTGAAACACAAATTTCTGATGTAGATAAATATATAGGTAGCACAATATAGTTCCAACTAATCCAAATCCTCTGAAACACAAAGCCATTATTTACGATAATATATAAAAAAGAGAATCTCTCTTGTTGTCACTGAAAATCTCTATGTTGCTGTTACCATTTATAGTTGCTTCAAGAGTTTCTCTATCTCCATTCTCTCTACTGGTAGTTCGCTTGAGAAGACAAACTCCATAGGTTTTGCAGTAGTCATGCTTTGAGCTCCTTCATGTTCACCTAAGATCAAGCGTAAACCAATGATATTGGAAAGAAATCCATGATATTGACAAATGTATTAAGGCTTAAGACTATTAAAGATATCACCAGGATCTCTTTGTTGTAAACATTAATATTCCATAGTTGTACACTATTTACCATCTTATACTCTATTTCTACTGACATGTACTTATATATGCAACTATGGAAGTATATCATAAAGATAATGTGGGAAATTCTGCAGAAAACAAAATTTAACAACACAACAATGACCTACAGCAAGAATTGTTTCTTCCGTCCACCTTTTCTTTAAGGGTCATATTGTTAAATTACTAATATTCTAGCAGAGGTATTTTCATGTCGATAGTACACAAAAAATACACACACATAGACATAGATAGGAAACTTTTTCTTCCACTTATATAAATTGCTATCAGCATGGTTACTTCAATGACCATTTCACAATCAAATATTCACAATTAATCTAACCACTATAATCAAGCAGATAGATTTCAATACAAACTACCTAAAGTAAATGAGTCATCCTCACTTAACTATCATGACAGATCAAATTGATTTCAGTAGGGATTTTGTGTGTGTGTGTGTGTGTATGTGACATGCAAAACACATGCCCTTACCATATTTTGTTACAAAATATTTGTAGATGGACCGTCAATCTTCAGTGCTCTTTGCTTTTCTTCCTGATTTCCATCCCTTGTGAGCAAAACTCTGACAATATGCAGTTCGATGATGATGTTGTCCATCTCCATTCTCTCTTTCATTCGAGCATGAGATACCAATTCTAAGCATTGAAGCTACGCACTCAACTGTTCTTCCATAATTCATGATTTCAGCATCATCATCACTTGAGTGAACAAATGAGCATCGACGATATTAGTTATTCGTTCAGGAAATGCCTTCTCCACAAACATACGAAGAGTAATGCTTACTACAAATATCTCATCACTTCAATAAACATTTCCAGTAAAAGTATCCCATAGCTATACACATTTCCACGAGTAGAAACTTCGTGCCCCATTCCGTACTCTGGTAAATGTTGATTATACAGAAGGATTAGTCCGAGATAATTCCGAAAGGCAAAATAAAGTAAAACAGAGTAATATACTTTTCTTATCAAATTAATTAGGCAAAATATGTAAGGTCAAGATAATACTTCTAGTGAAATACATAAGATGGACTTGTATATGTGATAGATTGACTATGATAATATAGTTACATCTTTAATTTCAGAACACTCTAACTGAAAAGTGTTAGAAAAACATGCATGTACGCCTTATTTCTATCTTAAACTTTAAGCCTAAGAGAAATAATATCAACATATATATAAAAGCAAGGAAAATAAAAAAAAATAGAAGCTTTTCACCTAGAGCAATAGGAAAACAATATTTAAAAAACAAATAGATGTTTTCACCTGGAGCAATATATCCAATAGTCCCTTTGAGGCCAGTTGAACCTGCCAAGTACTGAGAAGAAACATTCTCCAGAAACTTGGCTAAGCCGAAATCACCAACATGGGCTATCATATTATCATCGAAAAAGAATGTTGATCAGGTTAAGATCACAGTGGACGACCGGTTTTCCACAGCGATGGTGGAGATAATCAAAAGCATAGACAACATCAATGGCTATATTTATTCTGCTCATAAGGTTCATTAAATAAAGAAAATATAACTTTTCAAAAATCAGTAAATATAATAAAATAGCCAACATTACAAAAGTATAAATAACATGAAACTATCATTAACAATTTTATAGATAAGTAAATTTTAAAGTTTCTAATCCTCATTTAAAATACATGGTGAACATCAAAAATATAAACACGTTCAACAATAAAATTTATTAAAATCAAGAAATTAAGCAAAAATCATAGTAAAAACTATCACCTGAAACTGATAGATACTCTCGATCACCGATTCCATCACGCACGTCATTAGATGTATTATCATTCTAGAAAAATTAAGATCTAAAATCAAATAGATTAAAAATGAATCAAGTTCACAAATTTTCGAAAATCAGATTTTACTTTTGTTACCTACCAACATTTTAATTACCAAAGATTTTATTAATCATCTAAATCAGCTCTTGCATCTCTATAAATATGTAAAAAGAACAAACATTTTAATTTCCAAGCTTCATAAACTTCATTGTGGCAGAAACTGAATCACTCAAGGCTAACCTTTACTTATAATCACCTTTTTTTAACTGCAGCAGAGGCAGATGAAGAAAGCGATTCGAAGAAACAATTGAGGGGCGTTTCGGGTCGCCGCCTTCTGTGGCAGGGTCGACAGGGTGAGAGAGGATGTTGATGGCGGACATAATAGGGGAGGTGCGGGATCGGTGGAGATTGGGTTTAGGGAGGATGAGGGGAGAGGGGATTGGGTGGAGGAGGGGGAGGAGGAGATGGGGACGGAGACCTCGGGGAGAGGGCAAGAGGGGAGGAAGTGTTTTCTTCGCTCTCAATTTTGGATATTTTTTATTTTCTGAAGAAATATGTAGAGAGGAAGAGAGAATCGTGGGGGATGCAGTTAAAGAAGGCGGAACAATGGTTGCCAAAATTTTGAGAACGTGGCTCGTGAAATCTGAGAAGTTTTATCTATGCTTAAGTACGTGGATTAGTAAGTTATTCATTTTATTTTTTCTATTGTTGTGAAAATTAGGTCACTGTTCATTTTATTTTTTTTGTTGTTCTCCTCTAGTAATAAAGAAGTAGATTCCTATACGGAAATTACTTCCAATTTGCGAAATTTGAGGAGCTAATTTCAATAGGGTTATTTGCATATATACTCCTTATATCACTAGTGTTTGCAAAAATACTCCCAAATCTTACTATTTACAAAATTGCCCCTCAAATCATTAACTTTGTGAAAAAATACCCCTAAGATCAGCAAACCATAAAGTTGGTGCTAAAATTTGACTATTTTGTTGATAATATTTACATTGCGGTTATGAATTAGCTTATCAAAGTTGATGATTAATTGCTTTGAGGGTAATTTTTTCCCCAAAATTGATGAATTGAGGGGTAGTTTTGTAATGAGATTTAGAGGGAATTTTTGCAAATACCCATGTGTGTGTGTGTATATATATGGTTGATGAAGGGGTATAAATTGATTCTAAATTGAAATTAGGTGATTATCTTTGTTTTTGCTTGTTGGTGGATTAACATAACCTAATTGATTAGGTAGGAACAGAGATGCATCCTACAAGAGTGGTCAATGCCAGAGCCGTTAATATTTGAATAACAACATGAGTATCTGCGAGAGCACATGGCAGATCAAATGATCAAATATGGATAGAGATCCTTGTCCCTTGCTTGGGTCGTCCAAATTTAATTTGGAGTACTTCTGTTGACAACAAATGTCGAATAATAAGTTCTAATTATTACAATTTTGCATTATCATTGTCGTAGAGTTATTTTTTCCTTTTTGACACGTGTCTTAAGCAAGGTTAATTTTGATTGTACTGATTCAGTCCATTGGCAACCTGTATTGATATATTAACTGTTTATACTGATTTTTATTGATTGCACTAAACGTATACATGCCCGAGTGTTGCTATGGGGACCCAAAATATGAGACCAAGGAATGAGACAGGTGAGGTGTCTCATCCCTATTGCATAATGAGTTGGAATAGCCAACTCATTATGTAATAGGGAGGGGACACCTCACATGCCCCCTCCATTGGTCCCATATTTTGGGTCCTTAAGTCATTTTTCTTGTTATAGATATATTCACTTAAGTGGATAGCAAAAAGTTGTCCACCAGATTTTTTAGCTATTGATGTTGCATAGGGATCCATAAAAGATATGAAGAGATTTTATATATATATAAATGAGTGGCTAAAAAGTTTAGTAGACATCCACTTAATTAAGTTGACATAAGATCAACTCATATATACTCACACACGAACAATTTACATATACTCGAAAGAGAAAAATAAGACACAAGCTAGATTAATTAACATATATTTATATTTCCAAGAGGGAACAAAACCAACAATTCCAATCACAAAAGACTAGAATGGGTTACTCTCATCAACTTATTCACCACCTATTTTACAATTATACCCTCCCGGCCTCAAACCATCAACAAGCATAATATTCAACCAACTCAGCAACGGACTCGTTCTCACCCTCCCCATTCTCAAGCATCCAAAGCAAATGATCAAACAACACCACCTCACACCCCACAACAGCACCACTGGTAACCTCACCGCC